TTTGGGATTCTACTCTCTGAGTGCGTAGAAAAGGAGTTGCTGGGAGGTAGGTCCAAAGTTGTCGATGTCCAAAGTGTATCGCACGATATTTATAGTTTGCCATCACGAAGTCCAAGAAGCTTCACAGGTTGAGCGCTGTCTGCTCCAGGATCTCAGCCATAGTCCAGGGGTCGGGGGTTAGAGCTTGACTCTGCCGGGCTTATTCATGTGTTTGACACCCGCAAACCTTAATGCCGAATTCATGCCCTGAGATCTAACACTTCATCCCTGCCTCATTCACATTGATGTGGGACTGTTGATCTCGAAACAGCCCACCAATTAAACACCCGTGAGCCGAGACTCTACAGACGTAGTGTCAGCCAAGGTCTGTGCAAAGGATGACGCAGAATTTGTCCAAGTGGTGGTCGAGATCTCATGTCAGCTTAATTAAACAGCTCATGCATTCCGGGAGTCGGCTCCTGCCGGATGTGCTGAGAATTCCTGCTCGTATGGATGTTGGGATGTTGGGGCACCCTACATCCTAGGTAGCAACATCTTTCAACGATTTGTGCTTGTGTTGGGTCCGGAGAGCCGTAAGAAATGTCTGTCCGAGAACCCCTTCGCGCAAAACAACCCGACATCAAGGCCAAATAACCTTGAGGGCTATGCTGATTCAGCTCTGGCACACCCAGAGAGTTTACTTTTCAAAGGCAGCATGTTCACTCCTTCTGCCCGTGTCTGAATGGTGGGCTAGCGGTAGAGCTAGTGGCAGTGCTAGTGGTAGTGCTACTTTAGTAGTAGTCGTCGTCGTAGTCGTAGTGGTGGTGATTAGTGGTAGCGGTGGCGGTAGCAGTAGTGGTAGTGGTGGTTGTGCTGGTGGTGTCGCCAGGGAGCGCCGCGCGACTCTATCTGCTTTGTAAGCCCGAGCTACACACTCAGAACCTTGAACCCTCAACACGCCCTCGCTTTCGACCCCACAAAGTTCACAAAGTTACCTCAAGCCCTGCATTTTGAGGCAGAGTATGCCGCCAAGGCTGAGCGAGCTGCTGCCTCAGCTCTCTTCTTCACATACACATATGCATGCAGCACACATGCAAACATGCCTTTACAGGAATACATGCTTGCATCTTTGCATACATCCATGCATCTGCTAGATAACGCGGTATTGCATTACTGTACGTTACATAGATCTGATTCATTTATAAATGTATACACATATATATATATATATATAACATACATAAGTACATGCATAATTCATACATCCACATCCACATCCACATCATCCCACATACACATACACATACACATACACATACACAAATATACATAAACATATACATATACATATACATATACATGGTACCCCCCCCCCCCCATTGACCTACCCTTTTTGCTCTTTTTGAAAGGCAAGGGTGGGTCGGGGCGGGGTGTACCCGAATGGAGCGGCGTTCCCAAAGACCTAGTTTCTTAACAGACTCAATCTTTCGGAGGTCGAGGGAGACTGTATCCAAAACCACAAAAATTCAGGCCTCGCAGCACCTTGGAACTCTGGGCGCTGCAAAACACTGAGAGGCCTCAATCTTTTGGAATCCCGAACCTCAGAAACATTGAGGCCTCTCAGTGTTTTGCTGCTTCCAGATTCCAAACACATTGAGAGGCCTCAATCTTTTTATGATTTTGAAGCCAAAACGCTGGGAGGCCCCAAAAGACTCAAAAGACTCAATCTTTTGGAGGTCTTGGGAAACTATAACCAAAATCAGAAAATTGAGGCCTTTCAGTGTTTTTTGCAGCTTCCAGATTCCAAAACACTGAGAGGCCTCAATCTTTTGGAATCCCGAACCTCAGAAAAATTGAGGCCTCTCAGTGTTTTGCAGCTTCCAGATTCCAAAACACTGAGAGGCTTCAATCTTTTGGAATCCCGAACCTCAGAAAAATTGAGGCCTCTCAGTGTTTTGCAGCTTCCAGATTCCAAAACACTGAGAGGCCTCAATCTTTTGGAATCCCGAACCTCAGAAAAATTGAGGCCTCTCAGTGTTTTGCAGCTTCCAGATTCCAAAACATTGAGAGGCCTCAATCTTTTGGAATCCCGAACCTCAGAAAAATTTGAGGCCTCTCAGTGTTTTGCAGCTTCCAGATTCCAAAACACTGAGAGGCCTCAATCTTTTGGAATCCCGAACCTCAGAAACATTGAGGCCTCTCAGTGTTTTGCAGCTTCCAGATTCCAAAACACTGAGAGGCCTCAATCTTATTGATTTTAAGGCTAGTTTCCCAAGACCTCCAAAAGATTGAGTCTTTTGAGTCTTTTGGTGCCTCCCAGCGTTTTGGCTTCAAAATCATAAAAAGATTGAGGCCTCTCAGTGTTTTGGAGCTCCCACAGTCCCAAAGTGCTGAGAGGCCTCAATCTTTTTGAGTCTTGAATCTCAAAAAGATTTGGGCCGCTCCAGGTTTTGCAGCTCTCACAGTTCCAAAGTGCTGAGAGGCCTCAATCTTTTGGAGTCTTGAACTTGGGGCCGAGAATATCTGGCCACATTAGTTTTCTGCTTCTGCTGCCATTTTTTTTTTTTGGGGGGGGGGGGCCCTGGGCCCTGTTACTCTGTTACTCTCATACTCTTATACTCTATTACTCTATTACCCTATGACTCTATTACTCTCTTACTCCAAAAGCTCTATTACTCTAGTACTCTATTAGTCTATTACTCTGTTACTCTATTACTCTATTACTCTATTATTCTATTACTCTATTACTCAAATACTCTATTACTCTATTACTCTATGACCCTATTACTCTTATACTCTCACTCCATTACACTTATTACTCTATTACTCGATTTCTCGATTACTCTATTACCCTATTACTCTATTACTCTATTACTCTATTACTCTAATACTCTATTACTCTACTACTCCACTAACTCTATTTATTACTCTATTACTCTATCTACTTTATTTCCTCTATGACTCTATTACTCCGCTACTACCCCTACTCCTACTACTACTACTACTACTACTACTACTACTACTACTACTACGACTTGTACTACTAATACTGCTATTGCTACTGTTACTGGTACTGCTTTACTATTACTATGCAGCACTATTACTATTACCATTACTATTGCTATTACCATTACCAATGCATAAAGTCATGGAGCAAAGCCTGCGGGTCACGCGCTTCGCGCGCACTGTTTCTTGTACTATTACTCTATTCTTTATTACTCTATTGCTATTGCTCTATTGCTTTATTGCTTTGTTACCTTATTACTCTATTAGTCCTTTCGTCTTTTAGTCTGTTTAGTTTGTTTAGTCTATTAGTCTATTAGTCTACTAGTCGATTAGGCTATTCGTCTATTCGTCTATTAGTATTATTACTATTACTTCTACTATTACTCTTACTATTACTATTACTTTTACTATTACTATGCAGCACTATTACTATTACCATTAGTATTACTATTACCATTACCAATGCATAAAGTCATGGAGCAAAGCCTGCGGGTCACGCGCTTCGCGCGCACTGTTTCTTGTACTATTACTCTATTCTTTATTACTCTATTGCTATTGCTCTATTGCTCTATTGCTTTATTGCTTTGTTACCTTATTACTCTATTAGTCCTTTCGTCTTTTAGTCTGTTTAGTTTGTTTAGTCTATTAGTCTATTAGTCTACTGGTCGATTAGTCTATTCGTCTATTCGTCTATTAGTACTATTACTACTACTTCTACTAGTACTATTACGATTACTCTTACTATTACTATTACTTTTACTATTACTATGCAGCACTATTACTAGTACCATTACTATTACCATTACCAATGCATAAAGTCATGGAGCAAAGCCTGCGGGTCACACGCTTCGCGCGCACTGTTTCTTGTACTATTACTCTTATTTCTTTATTACTCTATTGCTCTATTGCTTTATTGCTTTGTTACTTTATTACTCTATTAGCCTTTTCGTCTTTTAGTCTGTTTAGTTTGCTTAGTCTATTAGTCTACTAGTCTATTCGTCTATTCGTCTATTCGTCTATTCGCCTATTAGTCTATTAGTCTATTAGTCTACTAGTTTATTCTGTCGATTAGTTTATTCGTCTATTCGTCTACTAGTCTATGACTGTATTACTCTATTACTCTTTACTATTACCAGAACTAGTACTATCTATAACAAACACGCGAAAAAAGCCACAGGTGCAAAAAAATAATGGCGACAAAAATAGGCCCTCCCTTGTCCATGCATCATTGCCACTCATTGCTCCTGAGACCCCCAACAAAGGTAGGTCAATGGGGGGGTAGCATATACATATACATATACATATACACACACATGCATACATACATACATACATACACATACACATACAGATACACGTACACCTACACCTACACCTACACCTACACATACACAGACACAGACACAGACACATACACACATACATACACACGTACGTACGTACATACATACGTACATACATACACATGTACATACATACATACTTACATACGTAAGCACATACATGCATACATACACGCATACATACATGCATACATACATACATACCGATGTACATACATTCATACGTACTGACAGACATGCATGCATGCTTACAGACAGCCAGACAGACAGAGAGACCGAGAGACAGACAGAATGACAGACAGACAGACAGACAGACAGACAGACAGACAGACAGACAGACAGACAGACAATGACAGACAATGACAGACAGGCAGCCAAGCTGCCAAGCAGCCTGGCAGCCAGGCAGACAGCCAGGCATGCAAACGTACATACAGACACACACACACACACACACATACATACATATACATACAGACATACAAACTTGCTCACGTACACGCCTATATGCAGAGAGAGGGCATGCCGCGATATGTTTTCTTAATTGCGCTGATTTGTATGCACTTATATTAGGCATACATGTCTCTGTGTGTGCATGGGTGTATGGGTGGATGGATGGATGGATGGATGGATGGATGGATGTAGACGAGTATCATGGGGTGCTTGCATGTGCAGGCTATCCTTTTCATGCCCCTTGCCTTCGTCATCATTTCCGGGTCGATCAAAATGAAGGGCACACCTCACAGCTGTCATTCTGACGTCCAAAGCGTGATTTCTGGTTGCCAGACTGAGCTTCTCTTTGAGGCACCTACCCAGGCGATTCAACCGGAAACCCAAGCCGCCGGTTCTGAGGTCCTCGTTCTCGACGATGCTAGCCACTTCAAGGCAGTGCAAGACCAGTCCAAGACAAAGAGCTGTGGGAGTTTCATGATTCGGGTTTGGGTTTAGCCTTCGGGGCTTAGGGTTCAGGGCTTAGGGTTGCAGGAGTTGCATGATTCGGGCTTCGTGCATTTGCCCGAAGCTTCGATTAGATTTCAATTACCAGATACCCCGCTTTGCTTAGCGGACTTGTATGTTAGGATGCAAGGCAAGTTATAAATTTGGTAACGTACACATAAGGTATGTTAGGCTACTTATAAGTTCGATAAGTTCGTTTGGACATATATGTTACTAAGGCTACTTTGCCGGAGGTTGTAAGTGACTTATAGTTATGGCGTCCCAAATACATAGAATGAACTTAGCTTTGACTTAGGATGGACTTACAAAATAGTTTTTTAGCATGATTGCTGTCATCTCTGCAGCTTGGGCTCGCGGGAGTTTTTGTGTTTGAGCCGTGTGAGCCTCAGCATGGCGCCGGTCATGATTCCGAACGATCATTTGCTGAAGAACTTTGGCGACCGCACGCTGATGGCTACTTACCGGTACCCGATGAGAAGCCGTCAGGCTCTTGCGAGGTACTTGGCTTAAAGCTTTGTTGGGAGCTGTTTTGGAAACAGACCTTCCATATGGCTTCCTTCACTTGCACCTCCGAGCCCCTTTTCAACTGCTCTTTCAGTCACACCCCCGGCCCTAAACTCCTGTTCACGTGCTCTCACTTCCACCCACCAAAAAATGCCACCGCTCCAATTCTTGCGTATTCTTGTATGGACGGAAAAGTTTGCACGTTCAAGTTCTTGTATGGAAGCAGAAATCCAATGACTTCCGGAATGCCAGGAATTCCTGTATAATTCTTGTATAACCATATCCTAACACAGAAGCTTTCTCATCCGGCCTTCTGGTTTATAAAAGCATTCTTGTATTTCTTGTGTGGATCTGATGGCGTAATTCTTGTATTATTCTTGTATGTTCTTGTATGCCAGATGCACACCTGCGAAATTGAGTCATGCCTTTTCTCTTCAGCATAAGCTGCTTGTAGGCCTTTTTTTCTGTTTGCGTCCACTGCTTCCTGATGCAAAACCGTGGCATTTGAGGAGGTGTCTCAGAAGGCGGCTTCAGCTGGAGCAGCCCCGCAGGGATTTGCTCGGCAGCGTCCCACCTCCTGCAGGAAACGATAAGCCGGCGTTGACGATGTGTGTAAGCAACGCAGTCTCCTTGTCTGGATTGAGCATCCCCACGCCTGCCTGTTTGCGTACATCAGGCAGCTTCTTACTGAGTTGTGTTTTTTCACTGAGGCTCGCTCAGGAACTCAACTGAAGCAGCATGATGCGAAGTCTGAGCCGTGCAACAACCCCTGCGAGCCAAAAAAGCTGCGAACTTACATTCAACTTATAAGTTAGCTCTAAGTTCTGATTAACTTACTTATAAATCACTTACATAAGTTCAAGATGTTCACTTATAAGTTCCCTGAGTTCCTTAGCTTATTTATAAGCAAAGCGGGGCATCTGGTACAGCAATACAATCCAGACCCCGGCCAGCAAGCTCCAAGCTTCCGTAAAGCCTCGGAGGGCTGTAAGAGCTAAGACTGACACCCTGAACCCCCAAGAGCTACGACCCTAAGCAACTACAACCACACCCCTGAGCCCAAGCCTTTGAACCCAAGCATACCCCGACCCTAATTTGCACCCTAGTTCGGAACCAAAATCCACACAGCCCTGCAGCCCCGAAGCCACGAATGAAGTGGTTGTGAAGGAGGACGTGATTCGGAACTTCGAGTTGCTGGCTCCCTTCGTCACCCCTGGCAGGCTTTGCAGTTTTAGGGTATACGGTTTAGGGGTTGGCCCGATAAGATCTTCAAAGGAGTCTTTAGTGATTGAGGGGGGGTTTGGGGGTCTGAGGCTTGAGGGTTTTTTGGAGCTTGGGGTCCAAGGCTTTGGCGGTGCAGGAGGGGTTTGGGGTTAAGGTTCCGTGCTGCAGTATGTTGCAGTTAGGGGTAACTTCGCATCGTTGGGCCGTGATGTCGACGAGATCACGAGGATGCAGAGAACCCTTGTAGAGGACCCCCAAAAGTAGGTGAAATAATGGATCAATACCTAGAAAAAGTATTTTGTTCTACATACGTTTGGGGTCCCGGTAAAGATCGCCGGAAGAACCCCTGGAGAACCCTTCATGCCGAAAGTTGTTGATCGGATCTCTCCCCGGTGCGAGGCTTTGGCGTTGTGGCCTTAAACCCTAAGTTCCTAAACCCCCCAAAACCAGAAACCCTTAACCCGAAACCCCGTGAACCCTTTAAACCCCTACTGTAAACAACCGACACGCGAACCCTAAACCCCTAAATACTCGTCAGTTTCTACGTGGTGTCCGACACGCGCCTGGATCGGCTGTGTGAAACGGTGTCGGGGCCCCGTCTTCCTTCTGGTCGGTCGGTGGCTTTGAGCTCTTTGTAGGAGTCTCGGGTTCTGTAGGATTTTGGGGTTGAGGGTTGGGGGGGCCTTTTTGGGGACTTCAGGTTCTAGGGTGTGTTGGGTGGTTGGCACCTCACGCAGGGCTTGCTTCAGAACCGCAAAGTTCTCCTCGGCGGTGGCGGTATATATATATATATATATATATGTATATACATCTAAATACAAATATCTATATATATATATATAGAGAGAGAGAGAGAGAGAGAGCTTCCGACATCAAGCCTTGAACGCGGAACCGATCTAGGAAGCGTCTCGGCTACCCACTGGCAAATGGCTTCAACCCCGGGGAGAAGGCCTGAGTGGTAGTATTGCTTTATCTGTCCTGACACAGTTGCTCATGGTACGACTACACTCCCGTATTGTTACTATTCGAGTTGCTCTTTCCTTAACTCTACAGTATCTACAGTTGGGCAAGAGTTTACTACACTTGCTGGTGGCATTGGCCTGCATTGCTCAAGACGGCTGCTTGCTTGTGCTTATGCGCATTCGCATACACCCACTTCAACAGACCGGATGCGGCTACTGCTGTCCTTCGCAGCTACTGAGTCCCAGAGCGTCAAGCCGGCTGCAGTTGCACACAGCAGCCAAATCCAAAGTGGGAGTTCACACGTGAGGAGTAGGGCTTAGGTTCGTCTAAGTAATTTTACGAGCATGCCATACTCCCCTGCATTTGGACAAAGGCTCTCATCATGAACATATCGGTGACAACTTCCTGTAGCCGTTTTGTATTGTTGACCACAAGCTGCTTCGACAACGGTCTTGCAAGCCAGGTCCAGTGCGACTACTACATCGTCCAGCTGGCATTTGTTGACAGAAGCACGGCACATGCAGCGGAGCGACCTCACGCAAGAGCTCTTAATTGCTATGGCTGATAGTCACTCCCATTGCTATGCTATACTACAGTCTATTCTTGCACATATGCAACTGCCCTAAGCCCTAAGTCCCAAACCTAAGCCACAAAAACCTAAGCCCTAAACCGTATAGGCGTAAGACCCTAAACACAACTAAACCCTAGAACCTCAACTCCTCTGCTATGGGTGCTTGAACACTTAGTAATGAAAATAACGAGATATGTTCCCGACAGATATAACCATAGTGTAACCCTCAAAACCCTCTTCTAACTATAACATTAAAGCCCCTGTATTCAACCCTCAAAGTGCAGTACCCTACTATAATTTAGCCCTTCTGAATACTGAAGCCCCTATGTTAGACCATAGAGGCCTGAAGTGCCAGGACAACGGCCCCGCGTCTGCCGTGGCAGAGCTTTTCTCGAGCAGCGCGCTCGCCAGAGAGAGGCTGCCACGAGGGCTTCAGGGTAGAGCGCTTAGGGTTTCAGCTCCCTTTCGACGCCTATGTAGTTACAGTGCAATATTGACCAGAAAGCCACATTCTGATTTCGGTTTAGAGCACAGAACTGACCCCGATTCCAAATCAACAATCGACGGGGAGCATGTATCGAGTCCAAGATTCATACCTACCGTCCAGGAATAGAATTGCACACTTGAGACCCTGCTCTACCCTAAGGCCCCAAAGTAGTTCCTTTTTGGGGTTCATGCTTAGAGTCTTATGAGGTAATCCCAAAAAGGAACCACTATGGGGCCTCTGGGTAGTTGCCTCCCGTTAGTTTCACTGAGCCAGGTTCATCATCGATCGGCAAGCTGAGAGTACGATCCTGGGAGCAACGCCCGGCGGCTGGCTTCGTGCACTCGAACACCAAAACGGGCAATCCTTGAGGACGAAATGAACCCTAAAAGGGTTTGAAGTTCATATACCATACAGCGATTCATAGTATATGGGTATAGGGCCCCTACTTTTAAGGGTCCGTTGGTCCTTCAGGATCAGCTCACAGAGGGCTGGGACATGTGCCCTTACACATAGTCAGAGTTGTCGGGCTCCTGAACCATACACCCCTGAGTCTTCAAGCTGAGCTTGGTTGTCATTTAGGAGTCAAGATGCTGGACAGCAGATTAATTCATGCTCTGCTGGTAATTTTAGTTTTGCACTTGCCGGAAAGGAGTTTAGATCCCGGGTGCTTCGGGTTCTGGGTTGGGGTTAAGGGTTTAGGTCTTGGTTCTCCATGCGCGTAGATGGATTTCACCTGGGCTTTCGGGTAAAAGTGCGTTGTAAGTTGATTTAATCGGCTTCTAGGGCTGTACCGCTTGCCCTCGTCGAGGAAAGTGTCTAAATCCCCAAAACCCTGAGCCCACAAACCTGAAGGGAGGGCGCAATACCAAACCATCTGTCTGGTTTTCGGGATACTGAACCCTGAAACCCGAAGCCTCAAGAACCACACTGCGGGGTTCAGGGTTGAGGCCCTTATCGCCTAGAGCCGTATTTTCGATCCCTGAAGGCGCCCTCTGAAGGAACTATATATATGCAGGCACTTTGTAGCACGCCGTGCTTTAGAATTTCGCAAGGCTCTTGGCCCTGAGCCCGAAGACTTCTTTGGGTTTTGGGTTTAAGGTTTAGGGAAAACCCATCGCTTTGCATTCGCCATTAGTCAGTAGTCATCGGCATCAAAGGCCTCATGATTTCGTCACGTCTCACGCGCAGACTTCGACTCAAGCGAAGCGTTCAAGCCGAAAAGTTTTAAAACCCGGCCAGGCAAGACCGGAGCCCCAAAGCCTTACACCCTAAAGCTAGGCAACCTGGAACCCTAACCCTAGAAACAGCCTACAAAGACCCAGCAACCTTGTTAAGCTCTACGCGAGCCCCTATGCACCAAACTCCTGAGCCCGAACCTCCTACACCCCTAAACCCTAAACCCTAAACCCTAAACCCCACGAAGACACCCCTCATCTGAAACCTCGTAGAACGCAACCCAGTTTTGGATCCGCGAGCAGAGCCCTAAATCCCAAACCCTTAGACCACAACAGCTTTGGGCTCGAATGGCTGGTGCCCTCTGCCGCAGGCCCTCGCTTCATGGGCTGTTGGGCTTTTGGAGTTTGGTTTAGGGTTTAGGGTTCATGGGTTGTAATTCTGGTCTTGGGGTCGAGGATGTTGGGTTCGGGGCACGCGGCCAGGGTCGGGTGCTTTGGGTTTTCAGTTGGGTCAGTGTGACCCGGCCTCCGAAAAAGCTTCAGAGGTTTCGAGCCAGCTTGGCAATGTGGGGAGGCAAAAAGTTTGGTCTCAAGGCATTCAGGGTTCAAAGGTCACACGTTTCACAGTCTAAACCCTAAACCCTAAACCTATAGGCTTAGTCCCGACTTACGTAGAGTTTTGAGATGAAGGATTCGATGGTTCAGGGCTCAGAGATCTGGGTAGAAAGCGTCTGTCAACGTCCCCAACGTTCCAGTCTAAAGTCTAAAGCATATGCTGATCACATCATGATACACAAAAACATACCATAGCATACTTTGAAGCTTAAAGTACTGCAACACACCACAAGATGCCACAATTGAAGCCGTGTGATCCTTGCCTTGCATGCCAGCCCACTGCGACGTTTTGACCGTGAGATCTCTGCAGTGCTGGACACGCTCCTGGATGGCCGGCATCCTTAGCACTGGCCTCCCTAAAATGGTGGAGTGGGGGTGAGGTGACTAAAAGCACTAACAAGAACAATGATAATGAAAGTGTAGTAACAACGATGAGTTGTCGCACAGTTTCCGTGTGGGTTCCTTAATGCACGTCAAAACCAGCTAAGATTTCAAAGACTATACGTAGAACACTTATGGAGCTCTGTTACGAAATCTTTGCTCAGGCTCCTTACCTAGCGCAGCGATGAAGTATATTGATCATATGGCGCAAGGCTTTGGGGTGCATCATACTTATCACATAAGTTTCGGTTGTAACTATACTAAGGATGGCCAATTTCGCAGGTGTCTACGCTATATGAAGTATATAGCTGATGTGGATGTTGAGGGGCTTCTGTGGCATAGTACGTCATGAAACCCTGAACGAATCGTTTAGCGCACAGTGTTGCCCAGAATAACATCAAAATATGGCCGGTCCAAATTGCGCATCTGCCTGAAGGCCGTCGGTGCTGACTTACTAAGAGCTGGACCCTGTTGAGAACAGACCTCCCGCATCGAGCCCCAGACGCAGCTCCCAAAGCCCCAGGCTCTAGAATGTGGAGGTGGGTGAAAAATTAGGAACTGTTTCCCTGTGGTCCCTCCGTAATTTGTTATAATTACCCATATTATTTACTATAGATCCCTATTATTGTAACTTAAGCTAAATCCCTTAAGGAGAACCCAGGTTGAGCCATTACCCCAAACCTAGAAAAATGATTTAGGGTTAGGGTCTAGGGTTTAGGGTCTCCAAAGCCTCAAGCTCCAGTCTTCTGGTGTCTGGCGAGAGCCACAAGCCTTTAGATATATGGGTGGTTGTCAAAATTATGGTTCCTTTGTGGGTACCCTAAATATTAGGTGCCGTATTATACTAGTGACCCAAAAAGGGACCATAATTTTGACAACCACCCATATAATGGACTTGGAGAGTGTAGGGTTCCGGGGAGCCCTGGCAAGTTGCATCTGGCTCAAAGACATCAATGCTAGATTCTGCTAGATCTTACATGGATTTTTAGGCCGTTACCCTGGTAGGCCGCTCATCAGATACTCTCAGTCCCTCGTGCATGTTTAGACTTGAGATGAATCGCAGCGTCCCGCCCGAACAGCAAACAAGGTAAGTACACACACACACACACACAAGTTCTTCGCCCGGGTATCAGCCAGTTTAGTCATATACAAACAAGCGCACCAAGCGCGCTGGTATAGACGACAAAACTCGGATCTCTAGACTCCGCCACCCTTGGGCTTCTCTACACCCGAAAACCCGAAAGCTCCAATACAACCCTGGCGAACCCCGAGGCCTAAACCTTCAACCCTAAATTAAGAGGTCTTCGGATCTCTGGGCACAGAACCTTCGCGGTCATGATGGTGGCGGCTGAAATCGGCCATGGCCACCAATCGAGGCAAGCCTTAGACGAGCTGCTGCACGACTGCAAGGACAGGGCTTAGGATTGCTAACCCTCTGGCATTTTTGTTGCCGTTTAAAGCAGCAAACCCTAAACGCCACCGACCTAGCTAGCCAGCAAGCTGTCCATTTATTGGTCCATGTATCTGATCGCTCAATCAATAAATCACTCGGTCAGTCGGCCAATCAGTCACTATCCATCTATCTTTCTTTCTTTCTTGCCATGAACGTGTTTAAATATCTATCCATCTGTGTATCGATCCGTCGATCTATCTATTTATCTATCTATCTGTGTACTTACTTATCTGATGAGCAATCCATCCATCGATCTGTCTGTCTGTCTGCTTATCTACATGCATGCATAGACACATACATACAGTCATACATACTTACCTACTTAGCTAGCTACCTACCTACCCACCTACACCCATACATACATACACATACTCATACATGCGCATACATAGCACATTCATACATACATACATACATGCATGCATGCATGCATGCATGCATACATACGTATATACCACCAATCAAGCCATAGAACACACATACAAAAGTCAACGACTTGCAGGACTTCTCAGGTGAGCTGCTGCGCAAAGTCTCGCGGGTGCAAGCGTTGAAGATGCTCGGCTCGTGCTGTTTGCCAGATTTCAGCACGTGCTGCTTGGTTTTATGGGGTGTTTGTTGTGTGTTATGCCTTTTCGCAGTGGTTGCTTTTTGTCGGGAGTTTGGGGGTGTGGGGGGGCCTCTGCATTGGCCAGGGCTTTGTAGGTTTAACAGGGGTGAGGGCTTCTAGTTGTTCTACAAGTCCCATTCACACATTAACTGAGGAACGTTCATGTGGTTAATACGCCTTAAATGAGGCGTGTTGATTTGTGCACTCGCGAGACCGCCGACCTGCTTGTTCTTCAAAGACGATCGGTTTACACAGCAGCATTGACTACGAAGCAGCTGGACCTCAAGTAGATTTGGTACTTTGCAGAGAGCAGGGGCGCCTTGATGGGCAGCAGAAGCAACAGGCAAAAACAGCCGCAAGGCCAAAAAAACCCTAAGCACCACATGAGCCTGAGGGTTTATAAAACACTACAGGCTGTGCATAGGGCTGAGGCTTGCTAATGTAAGGGCCTTAGTAATTACAATAGGGCTTAGAGGTTCCTTGTCATGAATATATAATATAATAAACCCTAACCCTATATTCTAATTGTTTAGATCTCTGCAGTGCCTGTCTGCTCGTCCACTTTTTCTGGCCGAGGAGTTCTCACCCCCTCTCTGCTTGGGAGAGGGCTGCTTGGCCGCTACGATTTCGGGACTTTCGGAGTCGGGTGTTAGGTTTAGGTGTCCGGTTCTTTATTCATACACATATGTATATATGTACAGGATCGAATCACAAGCAAGCGGGGGTACAGTATGTAATCTAGCACATTCCTGATGGCCATAGGTAGTCATTGGATGCCGCTGTTGATGTTGTGGTCGTATGTGAGTCTGTACTTTCCGAAAATATTTATTGAGTGATTCCTAGCGTTGCCTGCTGTACTGGCATGTGCTGTGCAATACTTGTATTAGCTGCGGCATATCTTCCATGGTTCCCTGTCAGTTGGTCTTTGTGTCATTCCTTTGAGTTGGTCTTTGTCGTTCCTTGGGTGTGAGTACGCTTCCCCAGAGCCCGGAATCCCTGAAGTGAACAAGCCTCAAGCCCAATCTCCAATCATTGGAAAGTTAAATCTTACATAGCCCTAAACCCGAAACCCCCAAACCCTAAACCCTAAACCCTTACATAGGCTTACCCCGGAATGTTAAGCCCAAATCCCGAGCCTTGATTTCAGTTCCGGACCCCGAACCCTGGGTGTTGACTGCCACTGTACATGGAATGAGAATGACCTCACTCCCTGTATTTTTCATTGTGGTCTCGCTGCCTCCCTAAGCAACAATCCCTTGAACTCGATTCAGGAGTGGTGCTTATTGTCTCACAACTTCCTGGCATTTTTCCCTTCGCGTGCTGACTTCGCCGTGCGACGGTGTCTGCTCGTGGCGGCGATTCAGGCCACCTGGGTCGAGGGTTCTACGAGGAAGGGGCGGTTGTAAGGCCCATTTGGTTTGCGTCGCTGTTCGCCTCTGCGAGATCAGCTCCACACCCTACTGAACCCGTTCGGCCCTGACCGGACACTTGCAATCTTCATCTTTTACCTCAAACACTACCTATAGTCTCCGTTGTAGTTCCTTTTGGGGGTTACCTTATAGGATCCTAATTATATATTTGGTTAAACCAAAAAAAGGACCTACAATGGAGACTATAGGTAAAGTCGGAAAGCTCCCAGACCCCAAGCGGGATCCCGAGAGGAGCTTCGAATGCAGCCAGACGGCCGGACTCTGCGCTTATTCCTGGCGGGTGAGAGCAAGGAGGACTATTTGTTGTCAAGGCGGTTTCTGCTGTTGTGTTTCACGTAGCATGGATGGCAGATACAACTGTTCATAATGACTGTCACAGTTTGAATTTTCGAACGTGTCAATGTTCCGTCATGTTCCATCTTCTTATACCTCTTGCTCTTATTCACACTGCGGCATCTTTTATTTATCCCGAGCCTACGACCTTCAGCTGTAGAACGCCCCATGCCTCCGACCTACTCTTCTCCTTCTGGACTTCATTCATCACCATTTCTTAAAAACTCGTGCTCAAATGAGGTAAGTACTTAATTCCACGCCATCTTGAGCCCCTTTTCTCGTGAGGAGCTGGTGCTGCGCACGCCCTCAGAGAGCATCGAGACCTGGGCCGTCGAAATCGGGTGCAGCCGGCGAGTCTTTTTCACTCTCTCTCTCTCTCTCTCTGCCTGTCTCTCTCTCCCTCCCTCTCTCTGTCCCTCCAACCTGAAGCAATATAGTCAACAGTCAGCAGCCAGCATGCATCAGCCAGTAGTCAATTCTCAATGCTGGTGGTAGTAGTAGTCGTCGTGGTCGTGGTCGTGATCGTGGTCGTGGTGGTGCTCGTGGTCGTGGCAATGACCTCGTAGTGGTAGTGGTAGCCGTAGTCGTAGTAGTAGCAGTAGCAGTAGTAGTGGAAGTAGTAGCTGCAGTAGTCGCACTAGTAGCACTATAGTTGAAGTAGAAGTGGCAGCGGAAGCGGAGGAGGAGTTTTCATCGTAGTCGGAAAGAGTAGGAGTGTGAGCAGGAGTAGGACAGCTTCTCTGCGAAGGCGGCGAATGGACAGGCTGAGTGCTCACGGCCATCATCTCATCCCATGTGACTTGGTGAGCATTTGCGAAACGACTCTTCAGGATCAGAAAAGCCGAGCCAGCACAGGCTAAGTTGTACGCTGCAGGCGTGTCAACATGTCAAGAGGCGTGTTCCCCTCGTTCTCTCTTTTATGGTTTTCTCTCTCTCCGGCTCGCTCGCCTCTGTCTCTCTCTCTCTCTCTATCTTTCTCCCTCCCTGTCTCCCTCCCTCACACACAGGCCTGAAACTAGACTGAAATCGACCCGAATAGTGTAGAGCCTTTCGGCGCGAAGGCCTTCAAAACCTCCAAGCCCTCACCCCTAGAGCGTCTACCCAGAGCCTCCAAAACCCCTTAATTAAGGAATATACCTTAAAATCATATTAGGGATCCTATTACGCTTTAAGGTACATCGTCTATAGTAAGCCCCAAAAAGTTGGAAACCGGATTAAGGCCAAATAGTGCTGGGATTCCCTATACATTACTCTTAAGGACTGAGGCTATTGGGTTTCCAACTTTCAGGCTTCTACTGTAGGGCCTAAGACTAAGGTGTCAGCTTTGCCGATGCGAAGCATTGGACCCAGGACGCAGATGCACTTCTGCTTGAAATCTCAACATGGGGGTTTCCGAAAATAGGGAACCCTAATATAGTACCCTAAAAAAGTAGGATCCTTATTATAAGGACCGCAAAATGAGGTACCCCTAATTTTCGGAAACTCCCACATGGGGGCCATAGTCACGACAGGTTAGGCTGCCGGGAACCATGAACTTTACGGCTTTTGTTCTGGGGTCCACAGGTCGCTTCTCTCTTTCAGGCGGAGGTGCTTCTGAGGTCTTTTTAAAGAAACTGACAGTTAAAAATACTAGAGCGAGGAACGCATGTTATTGACGACGTATCTCTGTTTCTGCTTATTTGAAGGTACCCTAAGGCCCCAAAGTAGTTCCTTTTGGGGGTTGATCTTTAGAATCTTATGAGTGATAGTAGTTCCTTTTTGGGGGCCTCTGGGTAGACCCTAAACCTTCAACACGAAACCGCTAAAGAAGAAGTTCCCAAGCTTTGGGAACCCCAGGGCTTCTCACTAGATTCGTTTCTTCCCTCCATGGCCAGAAGCCCGGAATTTGGGACCGTAAAGGTACTGCAAAAGCACCGCACCAGAGTTCATGCGTCTGGCCATAGTCTATCAGTTTCCGTTTCCGACGTATCATCCCCATAATAATATGACTGTGCTACGTATATGTTCATGTTTGCCTACCTATATACGCACACAGAGAGATTTGTGCATGATACAGTATGTACGTATGTATGTGTGTATGCATGTATGCATGTATGCATGTATGCATGCATGCCTGTATGTAGGCGGGGAGGTAGGTAGGTATGTGTGTATGTATATATACATGTGTATATATATATATATATATGCATGGGTATACGTATGTATGTGTACCCACGCAACCCATTTCCGTGCGAAGGAGCTTGGAACCAAGATGCAAGAACAGGAAGAGGAGCTTTGTGCCCAGGCGGGTGTATGGCAGCTTTGTAGAACCCTAAGGGTCCATGTACGTATATAATATATACATTGGCCTTAATGTAGTCCCTATATAGGTACATGGACCCTTAGGGGAATCCCTCTCATTTGGGATTGTGCCGCTTTATGTCCAGAAGCGCGGTAGGATGCTAGCGGCTCGGGTCATGTACTCTCTCATCCCAAGTCTATGTAAGTGTTCTTGGTAGGGGTCTTATAATGGGCATGGGAGGACTAGAAGTTTCGGCTGTAAAGGAACATCGGACTTATGAGGTTCTATCGACGGCGTTTCCGTGACAGGCACCATAAGTCGCGTTCTGCTAAGACTATGATTCGCCGTTGGGTTTAATCAGGGCCGTTTGGGTTAACCGAAGCCCAATGCCTCAAACTGCACAGCAGAGGGGCAAAAGGCCTGAAGTAGCCATTACGTGCCGCGGTAACATCCGAAGTGGCTGTTTGTTTTCAGGTGGAGGACGAGAGTTTCGGTCAGCGGCTGCAGGCGTGCGGTGCAGCGTGTAGAGTTTGGGGCTTGGGGTTTTTAGGGTTGCAGGCTTGGATCGTTTTGAGAGTGTTTGTGAGTTTGATGCTTCCTTACCTTGCAGCGTTTCGTTTCGGACATATCGGGCGGAGATTTCAGTAGGGAGGAGGCGGTGAATCAAGCAAACCAAGAGACTTCAACCCTGAATCCAGGAAGTGCAGATCAGTGATACAGGATTTCAAATGCAGAGAAAACTCCAAAATCTCTGAAACCACGTAGCTGACCAAAACCCCAGCATCTTCAGACCCCTCAACCTCCCAAAAGTGGCCCAAAGCCCTCAAGCCCTCAATTCGACTCTGCAGTTTCCACGAAGGAACGACACGAAGCACTCAATGCAATGCTGTCACGCAAAACCCCCCACCAAAAGCGACGACTGCAATTCTACTTGGCAGCGTCCACCATCGAATGTGATGTTGAATGCGATCCCGGCAGGCAGTAGTAAGAGCCAGTGGAAACGAAAGCACGAGCTGAAGCCATACAACGGTATAAGCCCTACATCGATAAACCGGAACCTTTGCAGGATCTCGACTCAAACACCCCAACTACCCCTAGGATCCCAGTCTTCAAGGGACCCTGAAAACAGTAGGACATCGAAATCGTATGATCCCGATGTTATACAGAAAACTCCTAAACCTTGCATCGTGAACCCTTAATGTTGTACCCTAAACCCGTAAAAAAAAAAAACTAATACCCTTAAACCCAGAAACCCATAAACCCTATAAGCCCTATAAACCCAGAAACCCCTAAACTCATAAACTCATAAACCCCTGAACCGTTAAACCCTTAAACCCATAAACCCCTAAACCCTAAACCGTTAATTTCGTACCCTGCATCCCTAAATCCCTAGACCCTTAAACCCATAAACCCCTAAACAGTAAGCCCTATTAATACCCTAAACCCCCTAAACCCTAAACCCTTAAACTCCCAAGAAGCGGAAGCCCTAAACCCTTAAACCCATCAACCCCTAAACCCTAATCCCATAATCCCTGAACCCTAAACCCATAATCCCTAAACCCTAAACCCATAATCCCTAAACCCTAAACCCATCAACCCCTAAACCCTAAACCCTGAAACCCATCAACCCCTAAATCCTAAACCCGTAAACCCTCAGCCCCTTAATCCATATTCCCTAAACCCTAATCCCATAATCCCTAAACCCTAATCCCATAATCCCTAAACCCTAATCCCATAACCCTAAACCCTAAACCTTTAAACTCCCAAGAAGCGGAAGCCCCCAGAGGCTGCCGCCGCGCTGCTGCGATCCGCGCTGCTCCGCTCGCGGGGTCGGGCCAGGTCCTCGCCTTTTCCTGCAAACCTAACCCAGGGACTCTTAGGGTTCCTTTAAAGGGATCTATAAATAAGGCTTCCTTTAAGGGTTCCCTTCAAAGGGATCTATAGGGCGTCCTTTAAGGGTTCCCTTTAAACTTTAAAGGGATCTATAAATCAGGGTTCCTATTAAAGGGATCTATAAATAAGGCTTCCTTTAAGGGTTGCTTTTAAAGGGATCTATAAGTCAGGGTAATCTACAGGGCTTCCTTTAAGGCCTAGTAAAGGGATCTATAAGTCAGGGTTCCTTTCAGGGTTCCTCTAAAGGGATCTATAGGGCTTCCTTTCAGGGTTCCTTTAAAGGGATCTATAAATCAGAGTTCTTTTAAGGGTTCCTGTTAAAAGGATCTACGGGGCTTCCTTTAAGGCTTCCTTCAAGGGTTCCGATTACAGGGGTCTAGAAGGCTTCCTTCGAGGGCTCCTATTTCAGGGATCTATAGGGTTGAGGGTTTAGAGGACTTCAATATCCCTTAATTCATGCAGACACCTCAAATCATAACTAGTAGGGAATCCTTGCAGTCTCTGGGAAGCTATGTAATATGATCCCGGTCCTCCATAGAAACTTTAAATCCCAAACCCTGAAACCTCAACTCCTGTAGGGTGTACCAAGGCCTTGCGAGAAGCGTTTACTGAACTCGCCCTCCACTCGCGCCTAGAGGTGCGGCCGGAGCTGTGGTGGTTTCGCGTTTAGGGTTAGGACTTTATTACGCTTGCCATGTCTTTCGAACAGACGGGCGAGCACGTCGGTGCAGTCTCCATGTATTCAGGTTTGAAAGTACTGAAAGTATTGATTGTTTGAGTGCTAATGGGTGCCTCCTATGGTCAGAGGCATTCTAGGTGCGATTGGACTACCGGTAAGATCCACGCTACTACTTCTTTTCGAAGTTCCAGCCAGTATCCCTCTGGACTTCCTCTTCTAGCATACGACATGAGCTCAACACTGTAAGGCCCCAAAGGAGTTCTTTTTTGGGTTCGTATATAGAATCCTATAAGGTACTCCCAAGAAGGAACTACTTTGGGGCCTATGGGAAGGTCTTTGAACCGAGCAAGAATACTATGTGATGTATCGGATCTTTGGGCGGTGTAACCAGAATTTTGCATGCGAACATTCCTGCTGCAAAAAAGTCTGTGAGGGGCGGCCCGAAAACACCCAAACCCTAGGATTGCTGCTACTGTGTGAGACGATGGTTCGACTCCGCTACAGGCTTCTGTGGTCTTCGAAGTGCTTATAAGTTCGAAAGACTTCGTTGATAATAGCTCGAGTATTTTACGGTTGCACGGTTTAGGGATGTTTAGGGTTTCATGCAGGTCTGACTTGGTCTCTTTGGGGCTTCTATGGCCTGTCGTGTTTCGGCTTTCCAGAAGAAGCAGATTTTGTTCGGAGGAGGGGGGGATCTTAGCGACACAGATTCGTTGTCGGACGGATTGTGCGTCTTAGGGAGCGTTTCAGGGTCATATGGGCTGCAGGCCGGTACAAAAAGGTTGCACCCAAACAGAGGCGCTATGCAGCTTTCAGTGTGGGGCTGCAGCAGCGCGCCTTACCCGAGCGCTGTTGGCTCCACAGCAGCGTCGCGTGGAGGGGTGGCTCAGGGATTGGGTTGCGAGAAACCCTGAGCCTTCAAGTGCCCCAAATCTCACGGATGCGGACAGCTTAAAAGCTTGGCACGCCCATAAGAAGTATATGGATAAAACCGCTTCTTCCTAGGCTCTCCGCCCTGCCGCTCACAGAAGAGGTGTGTTTATTGCAAGACCTTACACCTCCAAGTATACAATCTTTGATGTCTAAAGTCTGTAAATAGTATCTGTTTTTGGCCATTTGGAGCTTGGATCAGGATGAGGAAACAACACCGGGGGTTGTTTGGGGTCCATTTAACATCCAAGGAGAACCAAGCGACGAAAACAAAGCCCAGGATATCCATCGCGAGTTTTTGTTCATGTTATGCTGGGGTTTCAAGGCGTATCTGTGGGGAGATGGGTCCGGCTAGCTGTGGAGGATGTCTGAGCTTTGGTTACATGTTCTCGAGATGTAGAGTGTTAGCTATTACTCTACATCTATACACATACACATGTGTATATATATATATATATATATACACACATGTATATATATATATATATATATATATACATGTGTATGTGTATATATGTAGAGTTATAAATGTTTATGCACATATATGCACATATGTTCACATATATACGTATTCAGGCTTCGAGGTTTGGGCATTCCGGCTGTCCTGTCATGCGTTGGTACGACTCTGTGATTCGGGGTTTGTAGGGGTTACCGTGTGGGGTGCGATATGCGTGTGGGTGCGTCATTTGTTCAAGCAAGTCTCGACCCAGAGATTCGAATTTCGGGCTCTTGGCCAACAGACCTACAAACAGGTGGCCGAGATGGCCGGGTGTAGGGTTTGGGGTTGAGGGCGTTTAGGGTTCACAGGATTACAGGATTGCAAAGGTGAGAATCCCCGAGAGGGTCCCACTTGTCGTACTTTGCAGATGCCTGGCTGCTTGGCGGCATCACGCAGGCTCTTGCCAGGCCGGTAGTTCCAGGATTTCGGCCTCGATGAGCTTTGAAGAGTTTATGGTGTCATGTTCAGGGCTTTGGGGGGCTCTGAGGCGGTTTCATAAGCGATCGAAGGGTCATGTGGACTTTGTAGGTAGCTTACAAGTGGGATGATGACTTTAGAGCACCAAGCCTTGCTCAGCACAAGCAACCCCACCCACAACCTATGCCCTACGCATTGGACCCCACGAGATATCTCCAATGTGACTTTCCGGCACCTCAAACCCTGAGCGGAGTCGACATGTGGTATTCGCTCTAATGAATATATGCCCACGGCATACCCGCCATGGCATCAAAAATGCAGAGAATCCGAAATCAGGACTTATGTACCCTGCACGCAGTATATGGCGACAAGTATCTTTACCCGCCAACTTCTGGCCTTCAGCACCATCCATCAACCTCGAAAGTACCTGCTTACCGCAACATGGATCTTTGCCCCGAGCCCTGCGCTGCGCTAGGCAAAACCGACGGCCAGAAGGCGACAGAGACGTTCCGCGCAGGACTTGCTTACGAGCCCTCAGTTCTGAAGAAACCGGGCGGTATTGATTTAAATCTGCACACCTTATCCAAGAGGGTTGAAACTGTAGAATTCGACAGAACCTCAGACACGGTTCCAGTACATAACCAGGAAGATGGCTCTGCTTATCAGTGCATCTTCCCCCGAATCAAGCGATCTAGCTATTCGTCTGGCTATCCATGCATGTAGAATCCAGTGCACTTGGAAAGGTCGAAGGCTGGAATGTTGCATGTTTGATGTTCGACTTCCAAGAATAAGCTTGCACTAACTACAATCCATGCATACTGTATGTTCAGTACAACGAGCATGCAAAGGCATGCTGAGTTTCACAGACACACACACACACACGCAAAACAGACACACACACACACACACGCAAAACAGACACACACACATACACACACGCACGCAAAACAGACACACACACACACCACACACACACACACACACACCCACACACGCGCACACGCGCACACGCGCACACGCGCACACGCGCACACGCGCACACACGCACACACGCACACACCCACACACCCACACACCCACACACGCACACACGCACACACGCACACACGCACACACGCACACACCCACACACCCACACACCCACACACCCACACACCCACACACCCACACACCCACACACCCACACACCCACACACACCACACACCCACACACCCACACACCCACACACCCACACACCCACACACCCACACACCCACACACCCACACACCCACACACACACACACACACACACACACGAACACGAACACGAACGAACACCAACAAAGCACCAGTCACCGGTACATCCACGCGATCCTGGAAGCACATCTCTCGCTGATCCCGGAACCGAGACAAATTCGCCCAAGCCAAATGGTGACGGATGGATGATCTTTGGTGGGTGATGGGTGCTGTGGAGGTGGGCAGCATCGGGAGTCTTGCCTTTGTGCAGTTACTTTTGGGTGTTTGTACACCCAGTGTGAATTCGTGCGCCCAGGTACACAGCAATGTGTGGATGTTGTAGATTCTAGATCCTAGAAGATTCCCAGCCAACACAGTAGAATGGTTATATAGTGGAAAGATAGACAGATAGATCGATAGATAGACGAAGAGTTAAATGGACAGACAGATGGATAAATTCATAGACACATCGCTTGCAAGAGACGAAGTTGACAGACGTAGAACTAGTAACTAGCACCAGTGAGATTGAGGGAGAGAGCGGGACTGAGCGGAAGAGAGAGAGAGAGAGAGAGAGACAGAGAAAAAAAACAGAAAGAGAGAGAGAGAGAGAGAGAGCTGGAGACGTACAGAGGGGCAGAGACAAGAAGCCCAGAGTACTAAAGCCCACAACCCTCGCAAGCCCAAGAAACCTAAGCCCCAAAATTCCCTGAACCTGTCGAACCCCATAGCTCAAGCCTTAGAATTCAAGACCCTCCATACAGTCACAGAACCGGAGCAACTCTCAGGAGGACCTCCGCAAAGGATCGTTGTTGCTCGCAGAAGTTTGTCGCCTTTCGGCAGCACGGGAGAGATCGTCAGAGGACTGAGGTTCTCTTAAGAGTTCCTCAAGAAGGTCGTTGGTTCCTTTCCCTAAGGGTCCGTGTACTCATATAGTATATACATTGGCCTTAATGTAGTCCCTATATATAGGTACATTGGGGCCCATGTATCTCTATATGGGTACATGGACCCTTAGGGTTTTATCAACCCTAAACCTTGAACTAAATCCTGAAGCCCCGAAGCCGAACCTCAAAACCTTGCCGCCTGGGCATCAAACCCCCAAACCTAAGCCCCCACAACCACGTGTTAAAACAGAACTGAACCGGTAACCCTAAACTCGCCTAAACCCGTAACCCTGAATTCGCACTCAATCCCTAAGCAACTATGACTAGGAAACCCCAGGGTCCATGGGCCTTTATTCTAGTTTATGCTTGGGCCCTACTGTACTTAAGCATGACAAAGGTATACACTATAAGTCACAAGAGTACATGGACCATTAGGCATATCTGTACATTGACTGTCGGGTTCCTCCTGGGGGTCCTGGTTTTAGGTCCCTTTCCTGGTTATACACCCCTTGATTACCACCCATGAATCCCAAACTAAGGGACCAAAGGACGCAGCAGTTTGGTTCTTATTCTTGGGTTTAGGATAGGGGATCGCGCTTGCGGGTTTCAGGGCTCAGGGCTTTCAGCTTCAGGGTTTCGGAGGGCTTTCGGGCTTCGAGTTTGGGGTTTCGCTGGGCTCTGGTCAGGCCAGCGCCAGGAATCTGCCCTGCACAGCTTCTTCCTGCAGTGCAGCCGGCAAAAGGCTGCTGCACTTCGGGAGGCTGGGTCCCTACCCGACAACACCAGAACCCTTCAGTCGATGCTGCTGATGATGACGATGATGATGATGATGTAGTTAGTGATGATGATGTTGTTGGTGAATATGATGATGACCAGGATCATAGTGACCTCCGACGGAGAGAATGAAGCCTCTCCCAAAAGTCGGCTGAGACAATCCGGAATTCAAGCTCAAGCTCGCATGGCTTAGGAGCACGTGCCAAACCTTAACCGGACAGACTTTGTAACCCCATGTCTTTGAGCCTCTTCCAGTACCGCAGCCCTTCCATCCCTAAACCCCAACCCCTATCAACCCTAAAGCCCATATTGGGTAGTTTGTCAAAATTAAGGTCCCTGTTGGGGTACCCTAATTATGAGGTGCCATAGTATAATAGGGACCCAAAAAGGGACCCTAATTTTGACAACCACCCGTATATGACGCTGGTACTGTTGCATCCTCTCGGGCAAGCCGAGATGCTCGGTCCGGTAAGCCTTTCGGTGAAGCATTGCGAACAGAAGAGGGGCGATAGAAACTCAGTCAGGTTCCTTACATGAAACAAGTGCAGTGGTTTAGGCCCGACAGAAGGGCGTGAGTCGCTTGGAGAATGGGTTTCACGGCACTTCTTGAAAAGATAAAGGCTGTGCCCACCCTGCCCTTCCATCCCAAACCGCAAAGACTAACTAGGGATGAATACGGTTCGAGGTTGCTGAGTAGCACCCTTAGTAAAACCGAATACATAGTAGAAAAAAAGTTACCGGTCCCCTTATTATGAAAAACGCGACTCAGGAGCCTAGTATATTCCCATGCGCAACCCCTAAACCCGAAACCCGAAACCCTACGATTCCCGTTAGTCGCAGCTAAACCCTAAACTGTCCCAGCCTGTCCTCTTTTGCAGGAGAGGCGCTCGGCTGCTGATCTCAAGGATGCCGCGTCCTTCTACGAAAGCCTGCTGGGGTTAGGGGTTGGGGATTTAGGGGATAGGGGTTACGGGTTTAGGGTTTAGGGTTCTGTGCTACCCTCTTTCCCTAAACCCTAAACCCTAAACCCTAAACCCTAGGGGTAGTTCTGAAAAATAAGGTTCCCTGTTGGATGCTTTCAATCTGTGTGCTTGGGGCTTCAAGGTTCAGGACCAGCTCTTTGGTTTTACGGTTGATGATATAAATCCTGCATGACCCATAATAAGGAATATACCGTAATTCCCATAGTTTAGGGTCCTTAAGGTAATGCAGGATTTATATCATCAACAGTAGGAAAGGTTCGAGCGTTTCTACCCGAATTGTGGGGTCTCCGCTTTAGGGTTTACCTGGACCCTAAGGGACCTACCTTTCTAGGGCTTCCGAATATGATTTCTTTGTATGGTTATTTGGAGTTAAGGTAGGGCTACAGGTTTAGAGTTTACAGGTGTTCATCTTTCTGTTGGCGTCTTGGATTCAGGCGCAGACGCAGTGTTCATGGGCTTGATTCAGAGCCTCAGGCTCATGTAGCCTAAGTTAAAGGCCTCAGCCACTACCATTACCACTGAGACGATGACGATTACTGCTGCAAGACATGGTCATACAGCAGAAGCCAGAAAGTGGGAACCTCGTTATCCTCATACCCTTGAGGTACAGCATAAGGAATCCTAGAACTAACCATCCCAAACCCATTTCTCAATTTCCCAGGGCTCACTATAATCATGTCATGTCAGAACAACGTAACCCTAAGGGTCCATGTACCCATATAGAGATACATGGGCCCCAATGTACCTATATAGGGACTACATTAAGGCCAATGTATATACTATATGTGTACATGGACCCTTATACCCTAAACCCTCATCGAACCCTTATAGATCCCTTAAAGGATCCCTTATGGTACCCTTAAAGGACCCTTCACTCTATGAGCACATGGACCCTTAGGGATACTGGTAAAATTAAGAGGCGCCTCCCAGCTCCACCTCGCCGTGCGGCGCTGCACCGCTCTGAAGCTCCTTGCGCTGGCTCTGCGGAAGCACCGTAGCATGCTCGGCACTGGGCCATTCTGGGGTGTCGGCTTTTAGGGTTTAGGGTTTTAGGATTTTTGGCTAGGGGTTGTTGACGGCGTTTGGGATTTAGGGTTCAGGGCTTAGGGTTGTTTTAGGTTTAGGGTTTTCGTTTGTCCGTGAGCTAGGTTCCGAAAAAGGATCCTTGTTATAGTCATTGGGTGTTAAGCCATAAGTTCGCGCTCAGTCTTCGCGTTACTTGTTTCAGTTTCTCTTTTCGTGCGCCCCTTGTGTTCTGAATGATTGAGATGCGCTTTTCCTCCTCTGCACTTGTAAGTATATACAACCGATAAGACTGCGTTTTCTGCTAGTACAGAAGCATGGATGGTTTGCAATGGTATTGATATAAGCTATGATGTGATATAGACCGAACACCCTGTTTCGATTCTGAAGCCCTTGTATTGTAGAATGCCCTATCTCAGATCCGTTAACGGATCCCCGTCAGGAAACCCTATGCCAACTACCATGGCCCCCCGTGTTCTGCTTGCTTTGGTTTTCGTGTCGTCGTCCATTCTCAAGCCCTAAGGCCAGCTGCAGATTGCAAATGCCATGAGCCGCTGGTCCCAGGCTCACTGTCTCGTCGAGTATTTCGTGTTGAGAGTTTGGGGCTTAGGGATTACATATTCTTTGGGATTTAGGGATTAGGGTTAGGGTTTAGGGTTTAGGGTAAATGGATTTGAGGGTCAAAGGGTTTCACAGTTGGGAGCTGAGCTTCAGAGCCTGGATTGCTTGAGTTCTGTTGGTAACTTTCACTGCATTTTCTTATGATATCGGATCCTAGCATATTCGGACAATCAAGAAGTGTACTGAGTGTATTTAGGCAAGGTGCCGCTGGGGATGCTGGTCAGAATACTGGTGCATGCCACACGTGACAAGTAGGAGAGGCGATTGTACAAATTGTACTAGTGCATGACTATAAAATCGCTACACGAAGGTTCGAAGACGAAGTGAGGTGGTCTAACCCAATCCAACGAGTTCGACACTCACAGCAGGCCGTGGCCGCGACCTTGACCTCGGAGGTCATCACTCTGCGCGGTCAAGCGGAGCTACTCCATTGCACTGTTGCGGGCTCCCAAGGTCTGTAGAGCAGCCTGCCAAGCAAGCAATTGCGCCTTTCACAGCTCCAAGCAGGCACAGAAACGGGTGGAGTTGACGAGTAGATAGGAGCAGTACCAGTAGTAGCAGGAGGCCTTAGACTGAGCCAAGAACTGCATAATGAGCAGCAACTCCCCCTGCAATCCGTAACATAAGTATGCTATGATCCCGAAGCTCCGATCGAAGCATAGAGGCCCATGCATTAAGAACTTCTGGCAGCCCGGGGAAACCGTATTCTGACGTTCAAAGGCTCCATGTTGCAGAACCCTGTTCTACTTCTTGAGGCCGTTCTCTAAGCCCTATACCCTCAACCCGATACCCTAAGCCCTAAACGCTATACCCCAGACCCTAAACCCTACACCCTGAGCCCTAGTCTCATCCTTAAGGTCCCCAATTTTCATGTCGGCGACACTAGGAATGTGAACACACAGCTGACGGAGCATTGCCGAACGGCTTCAGCCACGGTCTCAACGTGGCGTCTTGTGGGGGGTCATGGCTTCAGGGTGGAGGCTGTAAGGTGTAGTTTTTTCGGCATAGGACGTCGGGTTCAGTGCTAGGCCTTCGGGTATAAGGGTTAGTGTTCAGGGTTTGTGGGTCATGGCCCCTAAACCCTGAACCCCAGTGTTCAAGGGTTAGGATTTACCTTTATTGACATCCTTTTTTGTGGGTTCTTATGATAATCCTTCATACAGGGACCCTACAGAAAAGGCATGTTTTTGGTGGGTTAAGGTAGGGTTTCTGAACCTACCAAAACCTGTCCTTAATATCGGGGATCTACAACTAAGTAGGTTTTGGTGGCCTGCGGTAGGGTTTGTAGTAGAAGCCAGAAAGTTGGAACATTAGACTCCTCATGCCCTTAAAAGTATAAGAGATCCAAGCACTGATCCTCCTAAAGCCATGTTCCCACTTTCTGGCTTTTACTGTATGGGGTTTACCCAAAGGCCCCATAGTAGTTCCTTTTGGGGATTACCTTTGGGATTCTAAATATGGACCCTATAAATAGGAACTACTATGGGGCCTTAGGGTATGCATCGCGACTTTACTTACCTTTGGTTAGTAGGGAATGGAAGAATGGTATAGAAATAGTAGTTATACTTGTACCCCATTCCTGCATTCCCTACTAACCAAAGGTAAGTAAACCCTCAACCCTAAACTCCATAGATCCCTTTAGGGAACCCTATAGATCCCTTTAAGGAGCCCTGTAGATCCCTTTAAGGAACCCTATAGATCCCTTTAAGGAACCCTAGAGATCCCTTTAAGGAACCCTAGAGATCCCTTTAAGGAACCCTATCAAAGGTAAGTTTAGCAGTGCGGGCTGGTGCTTTGGCTTTGGAGGGCTCAGGTTCGAGATTTCATGCCAGAGCTCAGGCTGGGATTTAAGGCCTTAAGGTTTAGGGTTCAGGGGTTTAAGGTTTAGGGTTATACTAGTAGGGGTTTAGGGTTCAGGGGTTTAGGGTTTAGGGTTATACTAGGAGGGGTTTAGGGTTCAGCTGTTTAGGGTTTAGGGGTTTAGGGGTTCAGGGTTAAGAGTTCAGGGTTCCAGGGGTTCAGGGTTCAGGTTTCAGGGTTTGGGGTTTAGGGTTCAGGGTTTAGGGTTTAGGGTTTAGGGTTTAGGCCTGCATCGGAGGTTTGTATTCGTGGGTTTACTGTCACAGGCTTTCGCGGTTTTGGCTTCCGGCCTTCGTTTCAGACTAGTGGGCTTAGGGTTTCGTGTTTCCTTCAAGACCCGGAGCCTCAAAAACCCTGCACCTCCTGCCAAAACCATCTAAAACCCAAACCCAAGCCCCTAAA